AACTGCTTCCTAATTTATTTCGGACGCCTTTTACGAAAGCGTTCGGGCCATGCTCTTTTATCCATTTCGAACAAAGGATAATACGAATAAAAGCCAGTCGGGCATAACCGTGGGAGCCCGCGAGATAAAATACCTAGTCGCGGCGGTAGCCTCCGTGGAGTTTTTACCTTCGCCGAATCCAGAGCTGATTCAATAAGAAGTTACGGGCATACTTAGCAAATAGAACTGGCGGCGTATATCGTTCTTATATTTCAGCCGCGAAACCTTGTGAAGGTAATGCTCGCCGGGATAATGCAAGGAGGGGAATTTGCAACCGCTTATTGTTTGTATTCGATTACCCCAAAACGAACGGCCCAGTTTTAAATGGGCTCCCGCGGTATAATCCCGGAAGTGCTTGTAAAGATTATGCATAATAAACTCCGCCGGTAGCGATGTGCTTGCGTCTGTCCTCTGGGAATATATCAGAAACTAAGAACTAAGTAAATATTTATTAATCATACATGATTATAGAGTAATATTAATTACCTCTTTGAATATAAATGGGGATACGATATGTAGTAATTCATACGTACATTTCTGTTAAAGGCATATAAGTTAAGGGAAAGGGTGTAAAAAGTTACTTTTTTCTTATTTGTACATTTTTTTTTATAGCTTAAGTGGGCGTAGTACATATAATCGTAAATTGTAAAAAAACCTAAGAGTCGTGATATATGTTACGTACATAGTTATTGCGTTTAAAATCTGTTCCAACCACCTTCCAACTTCAAATATACTCTCCAATGATGTGATATAAATAAACGTTCTAATTGAACTGTTTTCGAGTCTTCCCAGCGTGCGTGCTTATGACAAATCTGATTTTATATAATATCATTGCCTAGTGCTGTATAAAATCACGAGCAACGCCGAGGGATCAACCGAGCGAGTGATTTAGTTGCGGCGCGAACTTGGCTGATTCGAATTCCGAATAATCTCATCGTTATAAGCACCGTCCCCCCTATTCCCGCTCCCTCTTTCCACCAGTCGTCATTACACGGACATGGCACCTGTGGGGGTAAGATTGATACGCACAGTACCACAACCACAACGTCTGACAGCTTTTTATTGAAAAATTGAGCGATAATCCCGCTGCCGCCATATTCATCCTTTTTTCTTTTAACTTTTTTTTTTCAGACGACCTTTGTTTGTGGCCCTGCCCTGTGCAGTGTAGATACAGGTTTTTGTTTACCGTGACGCTTTCGCGCGTTCCAATTTTAATTTTTTTGGCAGTATTCATAGAGATTTTTTAGCCAAGGACGCTAATACGGTTTTTGAATATCGAATGCCTCTTCGTGATAATATTGCGGGAAAAAGTGAAAACTTACATAGTTCACGTCAGCGTGAATTGGAATTTCAAGTCAGACTTTACAAGCCAATATTTTTTTTGTAAAAATCTTCCTCTAACAACAAAATGAAAGCGGTTAAACAATTATTTATTATAATTATGACGACCTTCGTGGCCGAGTGGTTTAGACGCCGGGTTTCAAGGTGTCGCCTACTCGAAAGGTCCCGGGTTCAATTCCTGGTGGGAGATGTTTGTGTGATAAATACGAGCATGTGTACTCCAGTCATGAATGTTTTATTATGTATTTCTATATAAATATACTTATTAATGAATCAGTATATGTATTCTATCCGTTAACCTAGTATCCCATAACACAAGCCTACAGTGCTTACTTTGGGGCTAAGCTAATTGGTTTAAGTGCTAACAAAATAATAATAACCCCAACTAAAATACATAAATCAACAGCCATTCTTGAACTATATCATATTATTCTACTAGAACTAGGTATATCTTAGATACGTTATTTTTTTCTGACACATAATTTGCTTTCTATTCTGTCAAAGCTTTCATCATAAGTAATGTATTATGCGACTGACAAAAAGAATGTTGAATTTTCTTCAAATATCAGCAGTATTTTTAAAATTCTCACGACTATATTCAGAATCACACTATCACACCAATATTATAAAGGCGAAAGTTTGTGAGTGTGTGTTTGTTACTTCTTCACGTCTAAACGGCTGGAGCGATTTTAATAAAGTTTGGTTTGGAGTTAGCTGTCACCCTAGATTAACGCATGGGCTACGTTTTACTGCGGGAAATTATCCCTAATGAACCGCGGATTACATCGCGGGGCACAGCTAGTGGTCCATAAAATGCAATGTTGGTGATTCTTACCTGTCAACGTCACTTTTCTAAATATGACCATAAATATTTTTAAGCAGGGACCCGTACCCTTAGCACGAACCAAAATCGAATTCGTAACGTTTGCGAGTCCGATATGTCATTGTCAAATCTGTACTGATTGTTAGTTCTCGTTACGTACTTTGTGCCGCTGCTGTTCAAGTTTTCATACAAAATTTGACATTGACATTTCGGTTTGCAAACTATTCGAATTCGATATTGGCTCGAGCTAGGGGTACAGAGCACGAATTTTTGATAGCTCCATAACGTATCGTCGTCGTGTATCGTATCGTCAAATGTTGTATGAAAAAATCTAGTTTGTTATTTCGTCCAATAGCGCACTGGGGCGCTGCTCAGTTTTCATAGAAACATTGACGACGCAATACGCTAAGGAGCTGTCAAAAATCCGTGCTTTGGCCTTACGACTGTTTTTTTAAAACTCCTCTTTTAATTATCGACCAACGTTATCAATTACATTTGAGCTATAAATTAACCTGACTAGCTGGGTTATAAAATCCCTAATAAATTTCATAAGATAGTATCTTTAAGTCATTAGGAAGCAATCAATTGCTCGACCGCTAAGATAGATAATACTACACTTAGAATGTTAAAAATTTAAATGATTTTATGTAATCACGACGCAAGTGAAACCTTTAAAATCATTATCATCATCATCAGTTTAAGTATTCTATCCGTTACCCTAGTATCCCATTACACAAGCCTATAGTGCTTACTTTGGGGCTAGGCTAATTCGTGTGAGTGTTGGAAATATTTATTTATTAAAAAAGTCTTTTCTCGACTACGAATCAAATCTGGGCCATATGCATCCGCGTAGCAGACGAGCTTTCTACAAGTGGTATTCGCGTAGCATACGAGCTTTCTACCGCGTAGCATACGAGCTTTCTACCGCATAGCAGACGAGCTTTCTACAAGTGGTATTCGCGTAGCATACGAGCTTTCTACCGCGTAGCATACGAGCTTTCTACCGCATAGCAGACGAGCTTTCTACCAGTGGTATCCGCGTAGCATACGAGCTTTCTACCACATAGCAGACGAGCTTTCTACCAGTGGTATCCGCGTAGCATACGAGCTTTCTACCGCGTAGCATACGATATTCTACCGCGTAGCAGACGAGCTTTCTACCAGTGGTATCCGCGTAGTATACGAGCTTTCTACCGCGTAGCATACGAGCTTTCTACCGCATAGCAGACGAGCTTTCTACCAGTGGTATCCGCGTAGCATACGAGCTTTCTACCGCATAGCAGACGAGCTTTCTACAAGTGGTATTCGCGTAGCATACGAGCTTTCTACCGCGTAGCATACGAGCTTTCTACCGCATAGCAGACGAGCTTTCTACCAGTGGTATCCGCGTAGCATACGAGCTTTCTACCACGTAGCAGACAAGCTTTCTATAAGTGGTTTTCGCGTAGTATTCGAGCTTTCTACCGCGTAGCATACGATATTCTACCGCGTAGCAGACGAGCTTTCTACCAGTGGTATTCGCGTAGCATACGAGCTTCTACCGCGTAGCAGACGACCTTTCTACCAGTGGTATCCGCGTAGCATAAGAGCTTTCTACCAGTGGTATCCGCGTAGCATAAGAGCTTTCTACCATTGGTATCCGCGTAGCATACGAACTTTCTACCGCGTAGCAGAGGAGCTTTCTGCCACTGGCGCTGAACCACCGATGCTTCAAGATATCCTCTGATTTTTTATAACAATGAAAAATGTAAAGCGACATGCACAAGATGAACGGAAAATCTTGTGGCGATCTAATAAAAGTTTCACTTTAAAACTAAGCTTCACTTAAGCAGCTTTCAGATTATCTTTACGAATATATAAACAAAAAAATATAATCCTTAATATAGTGAAGTTGGCGCAATTCGCGGCAATGTAGAGTGATGTGTGTTCGCACGAGTTACCACTGCACTTTTTGGCTCCTTGTAATAATTGATGACTTTAAGTGGTGCCTGACTTGACGAATTATGCTTTTTTTAATTGTATGATTGTAAAGAAAATGTAACTAGAAAAAAATCCACGCGGTCCAGTCAGCATACGGGACACGAACCCGCACCCATTCGCTATACGGGCGAATGCACTGACCATTATGCTACCGCGGCCCTGATGGCCACGTTGAATCTTTTCTAGCATTTCTTAGGCTGCAAGGTAGCGCCATCTCTTCGCATTGTAGGTAACCCACAATGTCAAATGAATATCGTTACAAGTATTAAACATTTGAAAGAAAAAATAGCAATTATAGTTACATTTTTATTTTTTAATCGTTTAACTGCTATTTGTTATCTTTACAATTTTTTTCTAGAAAAAGTTCCACACGGACCAGGCAGCAGACGGTGTTGTCCTTTCTTGGTAACATCTAGCAGTTATATTGTTTTAAACTTTCATAGTCACCAACATTATAGTAATATGATCACGGAGTTACTAACAGTGCCGAAATATCGTAAACTCGCTAAAAACAAGGTACATGGTAACAATCCCGTAAATCTCTTATCTATTAGACAAGTCCGTCCGTCCGTCTGTGGTGCTGTTTCAGCGGCCAAACCGTAAGAGATAGATAAAGAGAATATTTAAGTTATAAGTTAAGAATAGTCTGATAAGACTACAAACCGGATTTGAGTAACGTAGCACTTCCGGTTTTCGAGAAATCAGGTTTTGGTGAACATTTGGTTCACTGGTTTGCTAGTATTACTATAATCTAGCAGTTAAATGCTTAAAATTTAGATTGAGAAATGTAATTATAGTATATTTATGTTTGTTCCAGGCTGTGCATTCGTGAAGTTCAGTTCACACCAAGAGGCGCAGGCAGCCATCACCAGCCTGCACGGAAGTCAAACTATGCCGGTGAGTCGTAGAAGCATTTATCTTTATACCTACTTATGCATCGAGAATCTCGATTACGGTTAGTGGTAAGCGCGTTCGGCCGCGATCGTTGAAGTTAAACCACTTTCGCAGTGGTCAGTCATTGGAAGGGTGAGCAAAAATTAAAAAAAAAACACTTTCTCCCGCACCTCCTTCCTTCGGAAGGCACGTTAAGCCGTTGGTCTTACGCCGGCTCGGCTGCATTTGCAGTCGTTAGCAGCCACCAATCCCGCACTGGGCCCCTTTTTGTGGATCATGGCCGAATCACAACGACGATTAGACGCACTTGTTTCGACGCTAGGGGGGGGGGGGAGGTGCAGGTCAACTATCACCTATTAAACCCCCTCCCTCATCGGAGGCCTACTCTGTTTCTCACTCTGTTTCTATTTCATTTCGAAAATTCGTTCGTCCGAAAATAGTTTGACATTTTAATTCTCCAAGCTTACTCTAATTCACAAAACTTGAACTAAAAGTTGAATTTGACAGATAATTGTTCGAAATTTTAACCTCAAATTGACGAAATCAAAAGTGTTACCTTTTCATAGATAAAAAGAGCTCACAAACATAACTCATTCCATTCGTTCACGATAATTGTCTGTGATTCCGAACTTAATGTGCATTTTCGAAGATGAAATAGAGTAGAGTCACCGGCGAAATTTCGTTTAAAATTCGTTTGTTGCAGAAATTTCGTTTCGGAGAAAGAGAGTAGAACTCCAGTTCGCATACCACACCATACAGGAAGAAATGACAATAACCAGAACAGAACACTTCTGTTCAATTTTGTATTCAAACTATACCAGGAATTAGGTCATTTAAATGTGTATTGTGTTTCACAATGGGGGTGCAGTAAACGAAATTCTATTTAGCCCGTCAGTTATATGATCAAAAAATAATGGACACGTATTTTTTCTTTGGGCAATCAACCAAAAAATGACAAAGTTAGAGCGCGTCAAAGTTTGGGAGTGGGCTCATGACGTCACTTTTGAGTGAATTTTCCCTTATAAGCGTACTCAAACGTGATGTCATGCGACTTTTCAAATCAATATATCTCTGCAATGTTTATATTATGTGAAAAAAGAAAAAATACGTGTCCAATACTTTTTGATAATCTACCTGATAAACGTAGAAAAAAAATTAGTCATCATCCCTATTCATGCATCACCATCCTAATCTAACGTAACTCACAAAACTAGACGGAAAGAGGTAACTTGGTGCGTCCTATCGACTCATATTTTGGTCCGCAATTCTGTTTAATAATAAATAAAGGATGTCACATGCCGCCCGAACCCTGCCGACACTCCACTCGGCGCGTTTTGGAACAAACCCGCTAATATCCACGGCAAACAACAAAAGTGTTTATTTGCGCCGAGTGTTAAAAGTGTGGGTTAAACAATTGAACGTCCGTCGCTTGGGCCGGTCGCGAAGTGTAGCGCATACAATGATGAATGGGTGTGTTAAGCGATTATTTTTTTGTCGACCATCCGATACTATGAGTACAGAGTTTGTAACAACCGTGAAACTAAATAAAAATGAAATCCGTTGCGCGTATTTTTATAACGTAAACCTTTTTAACGTAAATCGATTCTTAAGGAGTTTACTCCTTATTTGCATATATAAGGGGCCCGGTATGAGAAAAATGTGAGGAGTAAAATCTATCGATGAATGATATTAATGACCTCGCTACGTTTTTGTGCACAACCTCATCTGCGCACCTTTCACTTTTAGCCATGGCAACGGATAAAAAACATTAAGTTGTCACAAATGCCAATAAAATAAATAAACTAAAAATAGATAAAATCGGAGCAAAATTAATGAAAACAAATAAATAACAGAATATAGAGAAATGCCGGTAAGTGTCCAGCACTCAGGAATAGTGATTTTCAGTACAGATGGAATTATAATACATATTTACAAAATGATGACTAGTGTGTGATATTTTTGAAATTGTGTGTTTCCAGAAATACATAATAAAATATATGATGAATATCGCTGACGTTATATGATAAAATGTGTGACATGGAACCTATGATAGTCGAAACCATGGGACGATTCCTGAGGTATCTCTACTTGTAACCGACTTCTTCGGACTTGATTTTGTTTTGTGTCTGTTCAAAGAGTTTTTAGAGTGTAAACTCCGGTCGTGCGTCAGAGCTGACACACACATTTTTTTTTAATTAAAATAGTTCTCTTGCAAGAGTCGCCAGTATTTAATCCAATCGAGTTTTTCACTGCTATAAGGGATTGAAGATTTGAGTATTTGATATTAATTTTATAGTGATGCTTCGACGCGTTCCTGGGAAAGAAAGATACAGGCAGCATGGGTTGCGTATTTTTCTGTTGAAATACGTCACCCAAAAAGTAAAAGCGCATCATTGTTAAGACACCTTCACCATTAGTATTTCTCAGTAAAATTACTGATGATAGACCACATCCCCTTCCACCAAATTAAATCTAGTATTATACAATATTCCTTATGAAACATTATGTTCCCTACATTTTACGTTTTCCCTCTGTTTATTAAGAACATTAATAAAAAAAAGAAATTCCACTGAATCATTACACGGAGTAGCTCAAACGAGAAAGTGGCTCGTTTATAAGCCTCATTATTAATTTCAATGTAAGAGTTAAAACGTTCACGGTCCGTAGTTAGTTCGTTCGCCGAGTTTATATAAAAACGCGTAACATCCCTCTCAGCAGCGTTCAAAATAAACGAGTAATAAAGAGCTGTGGGACCGCACTCCTAACCGGCGCAGAAACAACAATTAGTTAATTAAAAGAGGTTTCATTAAGAGAGTACCCACTGTGACAAAAGTCCCGGAGCAATCTTCGGAATGGACTTCGACACCCCGTATTGAACTGAACCGAACGGGCCGTGTACCGAACACACTCACAAGTTCACAACACTACACTACACTAAACAACAAACGGCGACAGAGCTTTCGATGTATTGGCAACGGACGAAGAAGGCTTTTTGTAACACGTGAAAGAGATCGATGTAGCTGAAAGTTTAATGTTTCCATACTATGGCCGCACTTTATATAAAGTTTGAGTATAGTTTTTTATATTTTATTTTAAGCCAAGAGAAATATTTCTTATTAGATCAAATGTTACTAGAAAAAGCTCCACGTGGTCCACGCATCAGTCAGGATTTGAATCCGCTTCTTCTCCTATAGTACACTCATTTGGTGAGAAATATAGTGGTTACCTGGAACGTTTTCCGGGAGTTCTGAAAATTGGTAATTTTATAACCGAACCGAACCGAAACATCTATGTCCGGTCAGGATCTGCAGCATGATAAAAGTACCTAATACAACTAACAGTTTTAAGTATAAGCAACCATGAAAGAATGTTCTTGTGTCGGGAAAAAATGTTTATCCTCATCAGACAAAGAAATATTTATACGAATAAGGATTTCAATCATTCGACTGAGGCCTTAAAATCCCCGCAAGACCTGGAGCACAGAAATAACAGAAATACTTATTTGTCTTGAAAATAAATTACATTATAAACAGAACTACAACTGTTTATAACAGTTTAAAAAAAGAATGGGCACAAATAAACAATTAAACGACTACAAAACTATTACGCTATAAATATCTCTGTTCCTAGAATAAAGCTCACGTTTCTAGTTACTGTATAACCTAACCTCATTGCTTGTCATCGCCCCTAATTACTATTGAGTACAAATAGGCTTAATAGTGGAACACGATGAAGGTAGGAAAGTGGGTAGGTGGACCAGAATAAAAAAGACACAGAGAGCAAAGCTTCATGCTGTGTGCGTGTGTGAGTGAGCACTGGCAGTCTGTCGCCGCCAATAGGGTAGAAACGCATAGCTAAAAGGGATGATGACTATTTTTTTTCTTCGTTTATCAGGTAGATTATCAAAAAGTATTGGACACGTATTTTTTCTTTTTTCACTTAATATAAACATTGCAGAGATATATTGATTTGAAAAGTCGCATGACGTCACGTTTTGGTACAATTTTCACTTAAAAGTGATTTCACTCCCAAACTTTGACGCGCTTTATCTTTGTCATTTTTTGTTTGATCGCCCAAAGAAAAAATACTTGTCCATTATTTTTTGATAATCTAACTGACGGACGTAATAGAATTTCGTTTACTTTACCCCGTCATCATGCCTATTACAGATGGTTCTTTGGTAATTTTTTTTTTGGGCCTAAAAAGCTATCTGTCACTTCAAGGCTGCGTTCTAAACCTACGCTTAGAATGCAACTTTTTACCCTGACGTTTCAATTTAAACATAAAATGTATAAAACTTATGTCATATTTGACATTTCTTGCGCCCGTAGCGTAGGTTTGGAACGTAGTCTGAGTCTATCGAAATTCGTCGTTCTTCCTTGTGACTTTGACAGCTGTCTCGATTTGTTGTTATGGGCCTCTGGCGGGATAAATTGGCAGTTTTTTTTTCAGGCGGCAGTGCTCACAAAGACGCGCGCACTGCATGAAGCTTTGCCTCTATATCTTCTTTACTCATGTAGTAGGTGGTCGCACCGCCCAGCAAAAACTCCTGTAATCGTCTGTCCCAAGCAGACGATAAACTTTTTAATTAGTGGCTCTGTAGGCCGCGAGCGGTAGGCTTAAGCTCTGGGCACACGGTGGATCGATGCTCCAATTACGTGTTAAAAGCAAACGCATTAAAATCCGCCATTGTTGCTCATCTTTAGGTGTGATTGATCTTTTTTTTTTATTATAACATAATATTTAGTTAATATTGAAAATATGCGTGATGATTCTGAATAGGAGTGATGAAGGGGCACAGTAAACGAAATTCTATTTAGTACGTCAGTTAGATGATCAAAAAATAATGGACACGTATTTTTTCTTTGGGCAATCAACCAAAAAATGACAAAGTTATAGCGCGTCAAAGTTTGGGAGTAGGGGCTCGTGGCGTCACTTTTTAGTAAATTTTCACTTAAAAGTGTACCAAAACGTCGACGTCATGCGATTTTTCAAATCAATAT